TATATATATATACATATATATATATATATATATACATATGTCAGTTCAATCAACTTCACTTTATAAGTTGTTTGCTCACAACAACAGAGGGTATTATATGATATTTGAACGAATGTTTATTCGATTATGTTTCAAATCATGCTCTTAAGATCATCCAAAATTACTTCGTACGTTGTTTACGAAGATGCAGAGTACCAAACTAGCATTTGGATTGATCAGTAGGCCTATTACGCAAAACTTCGTTATGGGAGCTGTCAAGTGCAAAGGTCAAAGGCCAAAATCTTTTCCAGTATCAATACCAAACAAAATTTAAGCTGTGATTGCGCTGAAAGTTCTCAATAAATATGGCAAATTAAATAGGCCCAATCAAGGCTTTTCTGTAAGTTATAAATAAACAACTACACATATATTTAAAAAGTAGCCCAAGGTGAACTCGTGTAGGCTAATGAGATTGCCTGCTATGTGTATCATTATAAGGAGCTCGTCATATACAATTTAGCCTATAGATGATAAAATTAAAGATATCTTGAAAGACGAAATTTAAAAAAATATAAAGAGGCACTTTGTGCAGATTATCCGGTTTAATGTCTAAACACTCGGCAGTAAATGTGCAACATGCCATATATAACTACCATGCTATAGATACGGGTACAGGAGTAAAATTGTACCAGCCAACAAGGAAGAGAGAGGCAAGCATGGAACACGCTTTTTGATATTATTACCACGCTCTTTTATTATTTTATTATTATTTATTAAACTGTAGAACGTATATTTTTTAAAATTGTATTGTTAATAAGAACAACCTATTTCACACCAATACTGCAACTAAGCAGTTATGATTATCATAAGATGCCCATAAAAAGTTTTAGGTTTTAAGTTAAAGCAAGTTCATCAATCAAAATAAATCAATGGTTACAAGTACGAAGCAAATAAAAACGCGCTTGCGTAAATGTCTCTCATACCCAAACCCTCCTCTAAACCCAAACTGTGTGTGCGTGAGTGCGTGCGTGCGTGCGTGCGTGTGTGTGTGTGAGAGAGAGAGTATGCTATGTGTCTGTACATTTACATTAGCTTATATATATATATAAGTTTATATATATATATATTGAACGAAATTGTCTTCAGTAAATAGAATATTGATTTGGGGGAAATTATATAAAATGAAACACAAATTATGTCATTGAAATTATGTATTATGTTGCAATTTATATAAATGGGGGAGGTTATGGCTAGTGTATTAACCGAAATCAGCAGGGTATTACCGTAAACTCCAAGGCTACTCTGAGTTTTATATATTTTCATTTTGCTGCAAGGCATTATTCTGTTTAACTAGTTCAACTAAAAAAAAAATA